ACTGTCATTACGAGCTGCACTCGAGACGAGCCGATGCTGTTATTTGCTAAACGATGAGATATTACCTCCATTACGACCCTCTTTTCCAAGGATTATTAGTTGGAAGAACGTGTAATTAATTACAACGCATTTATGTTATTTTATACGAGCTGTAAATTTTTTTATTTCTACCTTGAACCTGTTGTAATTAGAAAAATGAATTGAGAAGCTAATGACAGTTATAAATTGCATTAGAGTATACGAAGTATTTTATATTTAAGCGAAGTTTCTAAATGATCAACATTAATCAGAAGAAAATGTAATGTAGAAAATTGAAGAAATGGGTTAATTTTCTAACTTGTAACAATAAAAACTGCAAATTTTCCCTTCAACGAAAACCTATTCCTTGTGGGTGCGAGCAGAAACGTTTACGACAAACTTGACCAGCGACCGACCGAAAATTACAATAATTAGAAGTCACAGTTCTCGGTATGAGCCACGTTTGTCCAACGTGGTTCGCGTCGTTGACCAAGGACAGGAAATTTCTATGCGGTGAAGAGTAAAAGGCGAGAAAGAGGGTAAGCTGTGGCAGAACCGGTAGCAAGGGTGAAAATTTCGCCCCGATGGTGGGCCGAATTAAGCGTCTAATTGTATAGGCGACACGTGCGAGCACGGATGAGCACGAGGGTGAAGGAAGAAGGAGGGGTTGTCAGAGAGGGTGGAGAAGATAGAGCGAGCAGAGAAGTATGGAAGGTCGTGAAGACGGGGAGAGGTGGTTCGTAAGGGGCTGGCGGAGGGGAGGAAATATAGGTAGGTCGGAGGTGAGAAGGTGGCAGAGGTGGAGGTAGCAATTAACTTCTCCTCGCGAGATTAGAGCGAGATATTACGAGATATCGAGCGACTTAACGGCAACACGCGAGAGACTTCAAAGGCAGTAATAAACTGCCTCTAATGAACCCCTTATCGCTGCTGCCACCACCCTCCACCTTCTTCAGCGACCTACCTCCTCCACTACCACCACCATCACCACCACCTAGCCAAGCCCGCGTGTTGTAACTTCCAGTCCGATGCGGGCTGAACCCTGAAATTCTCCACTCGCCTGCATGTCTATAACCTCTACACTAGGGTGAAAGAAGAAATCAAAACTAATACATATAAAAGCACTAAAAAGCAGGGAGTTATCGAACAGCTGACACATTTAGAAATTCATATAAGACAAAAAGAGGGTAATAAAACACAACGACATTACGAATTTCGTTCGGAGACGCGTATCATGATCGATCTGAAACGCGTTAGCGAAGCGAACGATGCACGCAAACCGGTCCCGGTCCGCGAAAGGGTTACGAAAGCTGCCAGGACGCATCCGCGACGACGTCTTGCAGCCGGCCAGAATCGCGGCACGACCAGACGAAGCGCCCTGTCGCCGAGCTCCGTCAAGCCCAATCATGTTGATTCAACAAAGTACCCACCTACCCAAATTGCTGGAATTTGGTATTCGGCCAGAAAGAGGGGGCGAGAGGAACGGCAGAGAGTAAGAGAGAGAGAGGGGAGGGGGGAGAAGACGAAAGAGAGAACGAGAAAGAATGAACAAGAGAAAGGGAGAAAAGCAAACGGACGAAACGAGATGGAGAAAGAGATAGAGAGATGCTCTGAAACGGTCTGATTGCACATCTAGGCCAAACCAGCACCACGACGACGTCGCTCCAGCGGAAAGCCGAGCGATGATTGGCCGCTCTCTTCGCTCCGCAACCCTTGTCCCCTCGCCCTCCGTACACCTTCAATCCCTTCAGCCCTCGTCCGTGCGCCCGAAACCCGATGGCGTTGGAGGCTGGGGGTGATTGGACGCATCTCGGTGATTGTGGCACCCGCCACTCTACAGGGTGTCCCATGCAACTGGTACAACTTGTATCTTTAACCCTTTTTGTACCACTGATACTTACAGGAGATGTAGAAATTTATTTGTCCTACGCTCTAAGTACCTATAAACATCCAGCTAGTCTTCTTAATTATAAGAAATTTTTTAACTTTCCACAGTACATCCAAAAGTAGAAAGATGCAAGTGCACTTTTCTGATGCACCGATGCACTAAAATGCATGATCTTTGTTTCAACATGTGCATCATCAGATCCTATTTGATTTTATCTAATCGTTTCAAAGACACAGCTTATCCCAGTTGCGTGGGACACCCTGTATAGCCCACCCCCTCCCTTACCCTCTCTTTCCTCCCGAAACTACCACCCAACCACCACCCCCGTGTCCCAGCTCGAACCGTTCCCATACCTATACCAAAACTCCCCCATCTTCCTCTCCCACACCCCTCGTGCACGGCTGTAAATCGAGTTTACCCTCTTGCCGTGGCTCAGCCCTTCAATCAAACTGATTGAAACATTCCTTGAATCCAAAAGAAACGAACCACTACCTCCTACCCTCGTCTATCTCTCTTGTTGTCTCTTTTCTTCTCTCCTTCATCGTCTGTCTGTCTCGATCTCTTTCTATCCTTCCGTTCTATCTTCTGTCTCTCGATCAACCTTCTCTTTTGCCGTTACTCCACCATTCACTCGTTCGATCGTTCCCTCTTACTCTATTTGGATATACGTCTCTCTTTCCATCTCCTTCTCTGTTTCTCTTCTATCGCGACGTGCAATTCAACCGTCTCTGTTCCCGCGACGCATCCCTCTTTCTCCATTTTCCTCCCCTTGTAACAACCCCTACCGCAAGCCTGATGTCGATGCTTCTGTCGCGTCACTCCGAGAACGGAGTGCTACTTCTCTCAATTCGGATAGCGGCTTGTTTTTCGATTGAAATTTTCGGGGAAGGAAATTTCACGACGACTCGGAGGACGCCTTCGTGGTACCTCGATGGTCACGTTGTTCGCGGCTGATTTTCATAAATAATAAATTATCTTATGTAAATAAGTAATCCAAGAAGATACCGTACACCGTGTGTCGTTAAAATTCTTCGATGTAGAACATAGACAGCATACAATTAAATCGAATGTTTTTCTCCTACGGTCAGATAGATTTCCACGAGTATGTCCGACTTCCGAAAATACGAAGGAGCCACGTCACCGGACATCTCGACGGACGATTCCGTCTGCAATTCCGGCATGCGGGACGGAGACGCCTCGTAATCAAATATTGATACTACGCTAGACTAAATCGTTCGACTGTGCTAACAGATTAGGACGTACGTGTGCTGCGGACGAGTTGTCGACGAGAGAGAGAGAGAGAGACACGACGACGAGAATACAAATGTTCAAGAAAATCTTATAACGGTGACAAACTCGGTAAATCGAAATTTTTCACCGTACCGTAGCTAGATTCGATGAGAGACAAGAAAATAAGACAATTCTCTTCTTTAGCTCTTTTTTAACATACGAATTTTTATATTACTCTCCTCGAATTTAATTTTCATTTTCAAAATGAAAACTGACGAAAAGAGAAATTGTTCTTATTTCGAACGTTACTCGAACCCTTCGTATCGAACGGGGCCGGCCTTCGTCGAAGATCGTAATAAAGGAATTAATTAAACGAGGTATAAAATTTCATAATGACGGACCCGGCCGGTTTTACTTCCAACTGAAGCTGAATATTTTTCCTTCATTGTCGGACGTTTAATTAATTCATTCCATTTCCAGAAAGCCGACCAATTCGATCCAGTTACAACCATGTATCAATTTTTTTTCACATTTCTTACACGACATCGTGTTTCATTTTCCTTGATATCGTTCGATAAAAGGCAAACTCATTGGGACATGAATTAATACACGTATCTTCTTGATTCAATTAATAGAAAAATTAAACGACTTTGCTCGAGGATCATTAACGAGAATAAACGTAAAAAATTTGAAAAATCATCTTGTTCATGCACCGGGACATAGCTCGTATATTTTCCAGGTTTAATCAGAGATGAAAAGAGACGTCGTCTGCGAGGCACGAGTTAACAGGTCGATAGAGAAAAAAATATGGACAGTCTCATTAGATTCCTTACGCGTGAGAGCCAACCTACAGATTGTGCCGATCTATTTTAAGGGACGCTAACTAAGTTCTACGTCTGTTTCTCATTAAATTGCGCTTTGACCTCGAATCCTCTAAATTTGGAACGGTCGCCGTCGATTAGGTGTATCTTCATCGAGCCACCGCCACGCGATCCCAAAAATTTTTCATGCAAGGAATACGCAATTAATACGTATGGATTTGATTTGACGTCTTCGATTTCTCATACGAGAGATATTTGACAAGAAAAGAAAGTGGTTTACGATGGACGAATTTCCAACTGAGTGCTGGTAACGACCGTGTTAAACGCGAACGCGATGGACCAAGAAGCGGTAAAGTACAACAAGACCGAAGGAGACAGTAATAAATAATATCTGAGGGAAGAACTAGACGAAGGACAGTGTATAATGAGTGGTCGGGTGTCACCGTGCAGTGACAGCTTCCTAGATTGCAGCTATTTCACTCGAGCGGAATGTTGATTGCACTTGGATACTTGGCGCTAACGTGTCTGCCTGTCTCTCGATGGTCATCGATGCGTCGAGACTGACACAGCTAATTTAACCTCATTAAACGTTTACCGTCCAATAGAAGCAGGAAAAGAAATCACCGAACTCGTTATTCGTTTTCAAAATAAAATCAACACACTTCCGTTACCCGACGAATATATCGAAACTTTAACGTTTCTTTGCTCGTTGACTACATTTATTAATCGATACGAGGGCAAATCAGAGAATTAATTGGAAGAGTAATCAGCTGCGTCTGCGAGGCTAACGAAGCTCGAAAAGCTGAGTTCCTGCGGTTTAATCCACTTTCGCGATTAATCAACGATCACGCGTCCCGACGTTTCAGGTCAACTATAAATTGCTTCGATTACCTTCGATACCTTTGCTCTCAGCTTTTTCGCATCGGACGATCCTGATAAATAGTAAGGTTCTTTCCTCGGATTATGAGCGGCGTGTCATAATTATTCGAAAATTTATGTAACCCGTTGCTAAGCAAATCAGAGTAAATTCAAAAGGGACTTACCTTCTGTAGTCGGTTTTGCAAAGGATCATTCCGCTCCTCGTGTAGCAGGAATGACCGATTTCCGCCAACGCTGCGCTGCAATAGGAGCACTTTAGGCATCCGTTGTGCCAATACCGATCCATCGCGAACAACAGCCATCTCTCGACTATTTGGCCTCCGCAGCCGGCACACTGTTGGATCCCCGTCGGTCCGCTCGGGCCACCTTCTTGCTGTAACAGGTAAACAAACATTCGTTTCATGCCTGAAATCTCAAACGGTGTCTGTCTATGATTTCCTTTCGTAATAAACAAAGCAAAACCGTACCAAAGCGAGCACAATTACACGGTTAATGCGCGTACAACCGTACCATCATCAATTCCATGAAATGGTGCGTTCGCGTGCTTCTAATCGCGATTCGTCGCGGTCAAACGGAAGATACACTGCGGAAAACAGAACAAGAATCGACATTGCCGTTCGATTACGCAACGGAAAGATTTCCGTATAATAACACACCGCAATGGAAGGATTCGCGGTACTCTTATTAACGGAAACCAAAAGAACGAAAGACATAATCATTCCTGTAATTAATACGAAATCGAAAGTCATTAACTGACGATAAATCATCGTGGAGCATCGAGCAAGCAATCTCGGCGAACACTTAATCGCGATTATGTAAACGACGGTAAGCGTGAATAATCGCGGTCGACGTCGTTGATTATTAAAATATACGACTGTCCGGTAAATAAATGCTGTGGAGTAAAATTTGTCGTTCGTGGCGCAAAAACGCGTTCAATCGTGGCCATAAATTTTGCTACAAGATTCATCGTCTTTTTTACAATTTAACACTTTAGATTCTTACTGATTTCAAAAATATAAATTAAATCTTTCGATTCGAAACGAAAAGGGGTATGGTAAGACACGTGTGAGATAATTATTAATAATACGTATATATTTCAGTTTAAGAGCCGAAGTAAAAGAATGTTAAACTAATAACAAAACAATTTTCCAGACCGTGCAACCGTGACTTTTGCACTTGCCGGACAACATCGATCATCGTATGAATAAATTAGAAGTTAGCTTTGATCAACATCTACGCTTGGAACATTTCATTCAATTTATTGGAGCTCAGCAAACCGTGTCCAAACGATATTAATATTCACACTGTAGAAACTAGAAAGTGTAAAGATTTAACTCTCAAAATATATAATTATAATTAACACTTTGACTCTTCGAATTTTCACTTCCTTTTACTGGCTATTTCAACGCGTTAAGAATCACAGGCTGAACAAGTTCTTCTTTAACAAATCTTATATTCTATAGCAAGTTTCGCCACTAAAAGAACTTCAGTTTCGAAAGGACTCCTTTGCATTTGAAAACAGTTGCCGAAACGTGCGTTAAACTCGATCGTTCCGAGTCTCTAGGCCGCATTCCACCACTTCCTGTAACCTGTTCTGCTAACAGAGCTGTTTCGGAGCAGGTCGATCTTTGAGCCTCGAGATCAGCGCACGCGTTCGTAAAAAGCCCTGAAAGTAACGAGTTTCGAGCTCAGAAACCATTGTTGATTCGCTGTAACAATTTCTATGATAATACAGCGAAGCAAGATGAAGAGAAGATTGAGTAAAAAAGAAATCGAAGGCGCGACTTGACGAAACTTATAAATTTATATGACCGAGACATTTATTATTACGCGTTTAAAAATCATAATGTAAAACAGCCAGGTTCGTCTTTCTTCTCTACGAATCGTCGATCGACTCCGATCTCCTAAAATGTCGTGAGACGTCAATCTGTGATTCTCATAAAAAAGAAGGTGCCGAGAAAAAGAGAGAGTTCAAGGTGGCCCGTTCGAGTAAACGCGGGAAAAAAGAGTGTCTATAGAGAGCAACGCGTGCAGTGACGGTAATTTATCGGGGAATTAGCGTCAGCCGGGAAAAATCGATTCCCTCTCAGGCGGGGAAAATCGTTTCCCTTCCACGTGTCTGCTTTTTACAAGACTTAACGACACTTCTTTCGCAATTACCGCGCAATTACAATCGTTGACTTAGTATAATCAAACGAAACTCGTGTAATTGCTCGTAGGAGGCAGTTGCTGTTACCTTGTCAACGTAGAATCGTTCGCGATTAAACGATGAAGGAGAAAAACGAATCGCCGATGAGAAATACCGGAATGAAAAACAGTGAACGTAATCAGCGTAGTTTTCAAACAAACAGGTGTACGTGTTCCAACGAACGTTTGTGTTCGTTACGCAATCGCTCGCTCATTGGAAAAATTTAATTAATCCTCTGTACGGTATACTTAATAGGAATCTTCTTCGAAAAGAAAAAAAAAAAGGAAAACAAAAAACGACAGGCTTATTGTCTCCCTTCGACAATTGATCGATGAATATTTATATTCGAGATACGAAACGAAATGCAGATAACGTGAAGTCCGATCAAGGCTGATACCATTAACGCGTCGATTATACGATACAGAAATGTAATACGATAAAAATTCGTTAGGGTACAAATGCACCCGGAGTCCGTTACGCGTGTTTCAGCCGCTAACAGCCATGTCTTTGAAGGGCTAAGAACGACCACGAGGTAAGAGCCGCACCGATGTTCGCGTTACAACTAATTGAACAATTTCACAGACAACACATTTACAGGACGGAAGAGCAAGTATAAAATGGGATTCTTACAATTTTGTCGCCGGGAAAACACTTCATCTGGTTCATCCTTGACGCGATGGCGCTGTAGTGATGCGCGTGCACCTCCATGATCGAGCACAGGCAACAGCCTCCTTGAACGGATGTGTCCGAAAAAGCGGTGGTCGACGAGAACCTTCCCTCTACGACTCAATCCTTCTCTCGCGTATTCACACGGCCAATGATATCATTCGTCCTCGAATGGAAATCTTCCAACGAACGAAGCGTTGCTCCGACTGAACCGGCCCACCTTGCACCAACCGGGACGACGCTGATCCGATCACCACTCGATCCGATCATTCAAACATACTTTAATTACAACGAATCCACGAGGAGCAACGCTTGGAAACGTGACCGACTCGCGTTGCCGTCGGCAACCAACAGGTTTGCTCTGCTGCCCAACGCTCCGAATCGAGCATCCCGCGTTCAGCAATCTGGTAGAGCACGCGATCAGGCCCCACCATGGGAAAATCGACACAGTGGAAATAACAGCACAGTAATCGCACAGATAAACAGAGACGAAGAGAAGAACACGATAAACACATAAGTTACAGAGACTGGGATAAGAACGAACCGATCCCGACCGAAGTCAGCAGCGAACTGACTGGTCCGTGGCTGCTTTGGGCCTCTGAATGCCTCGCGAGGCCCCGGGTTCAGGTACCCCAGCCTGCCAGCCAGTCAGCCAGCCAGCCAGCTAGCCAGCCAGCCAGCCAGCCAGCAGCAATGGGTCTGGTGGGGAGAATAAAAAGGTGAGCCTAGAAAGGACCTAACTAACGTTGAAAGGGGACGGGACCCATCCATAGCTCTGACCATGCCGGACAAGGACACGGCTACGTGTAAAATGAACGAACGACAGAGATACGAAGAGTATTATGGAGTGAAACATGCCGCGCGACGTAGAGGGGGCGGTCGTCGAGGTAAAGGGGCAACGGGGGAGCCAGGCCTCCTCGCAGTCCCCTCCGCCCCTATTCAATTATATTTCTCCATGGTAAATGCCTATATTGTTACGTTTGTCAATGGCGAGCTAAGTGAGGGTCACGTAGATGGATAATACCTTCTGAATTTTAGCCTGCGACCCGGTTTCTGTCGCGTTCTCTCCGCCAGTTTTCGACGACCTCCCGTTAGAATTTCCGAGGGGTCCACCACCTGTACGTTACGCCGATTTCCGAGGGGTGAAAAGTCGTTTCGGACCTTCGTTCGTTGACAGGATCATCAACGTCCCCTCGAAGGAGTATCGATACACTGACGGGACTTGCTTCAAGATTTCGGGAAGATTGTTGATGTTATGAAATTCAAGAATATTGCGTGCCTGATCTAAACGCGATTCAAATTGCCAGAGGTTACAATTCCTTGACTGTTATTAATATGAAATTAGACGGAAATTAGACGGTCGCGAGGTGAGGTTACGTAATGAACGACCAACACTGGTTATTACGCGAACAATGAGCTACGTGTACGCGCTTCAGCTGCTTCCGCTTGAAAACTTTTTCTCGTGACCATCCTCGCGCGACCGGCCAGCGTAGAAAGTGCATCTTAATTGTACGAGAAGAACCGTTCGCGAGGCGTGCTTCGTAACGAGGGTGGCGGGAAAGAAGGCTACCCTAGCAGATAATTTTATTCTTACCTTAAGTGTACAATTGTTGTTGTGATTGACCGGTGGATAAGCCGTATGGCCCGGTAAGTGTGGGTGTGGGTGCCCTGGGTGATGCGGATGATCGCTCATCATTCCAGCACCGCCGTGATGATGTCCATTGCTGCCCATACCCTGGCCAGGTTGCATGGACGCGTAAGGGGTTGCTGGGTCGATGGCAGGTCCATGAGGTGGCGAATGTGGACTTGGCAAGTCTGGGGTTGTGGTGGTACCACCACCACCACCCCCGCCACCTCCACCGCCGGTACTGTAGCCGTGATGAGGCCCAGAATGATGGGGACTGCTCGATAGCGAGGGATGATGCGGGTAGGCTGCAGAATGGCCCGGATGGTGGGGGTTCATACCAGCGGTTAGAGCGCTCGCCAGCTTGACCGATGAGAGGGTGGGCCCGACGAGCCCACCAACAGCTTCCCACGGCGAAAAAACAAAAGCTCGTAGCCTAGCTAACTGGAAGCTTATTTGCGCTCGGTTCTTCTAGAACCGGCTCTCTTCTTCCCCTCTTTCCTGATATCTGTAACAAAAAGAAAATAAATGTTAGAAATATAAATCTAAGAGTATTTAATTATTTCCTTCCCTTGTATACTTGAAAATTTTTTAATTTTCATTTACCTGGCCAAAATTCAGTTGGCAATAACGCGACGGGGATCAACCTCTTTTGACATCAGTTCTTAGGGGTTAATTTGATCGATCCCGTCAACTCTGATTTACTCGAAAGATCAAAGTTTGAAGTAGCTTCGCCACGACTAAAGACGAGGAAAGAGTTCAATCGCATTATCGATCGAACTATCTAATCGATTATCGGTGTAGCAATTCAAACAGCCTTCGAAACTTCTTTCATAAGCGCGACAGGACGAAAAATCTCGGAAAAATACAATATTTAGGCTGGGAAGCGACGGTACGGAAACTGGTCGTAAAGGCGACCGCTGCATTACGGGCCAGGACGAAACTGTGCCGGCTTGATATTAATTTCACCGACGACCAGAGTTTCCGTGCAATTTTATTGGCCCTTAAGACGGCGCGCAACGATTTCATAATGCCGCTCGATCCCAATGAAACAGCAGTTCGTAGCAAAACGATCTGCAGGAGGTGGATGGAGATAGAAAAGAAGGGGACCTTTTACGACCGAGCAATTTGCGAAAGAGTTCGTCGGCCGAAGAAATATTTAAATTCAATCCGGATGCAACCGGCAGTAAAGCAACGTAGCTCGGCAGTGGTCCACGGGGGTGGTAAACGCCATCCCCTGTTTCTCTTCTTGTTTCCTTTGATACTTTTACTCCCCCCGTCCGGACGGATTGCTGCGATAAAGATGTACCCGATTGTCACTGTAACCGACGGAAAGGGGACGTTGGACAGATTGCTGTAATAAACATTTTACGAGGATCGATAGCCACCGGTTTATTTGTTTATCGAACTTCCGCGTAATTAAGTCGAATGACAGATTGCTTGCTGTGATCAATCTTGCGCTAGGTGTTGACTATTCAAGCATACACAGTGAGTCAAAATTATTTGATGTTGGAGATTCAAGGATGTTAGTCTTTAAAATTGAAGGGTATCGCAAAGATTCCTGGAAGAATACGCGAGAATCGATCAAAGATGAAGGAGGAGCAGTGTAAAGGAAGAGAATTTTCGATCTTCTGCGGGCCGTGTAGGCGTGACGGCATCAAAGGTCTAATTTTCCGGCCGCTAATTCGAGTCGAACGAGGCCCCTGGAAAAACAAGGATCCGGAGAAATCGATGGAAGAGATCGTCGTTTCGATCGTGGAACACGTCAGCCGGAGCTCCGCCGCCGGAAACGAAGCGGCCGTTGCGGCGACGTTGAACAAAGCCCGCTCTAATTACTCCCCTTTATGATCTTTTCCGGCATCCAATCAGATTTCCTCGTTTTCCTCGCCCTCTGCTAGGTAATCTCGTTAACTCGTCCCCGCTAACACCTTCCAACGACGATTCGACACGTGATATAGTCGTTCCATGGAAGTGAACGCGTCGTCTTCCAACTCGGAACCGTGTTCTATCATAGTAAAGCTTCTACGTTTCGTGACACCAACGCATTAAAATTTCATTAGCCAGGGTGTTCTTATTTTTCATCGATACTTCATTACGAGACTGTTTCTAATTAGTAGTCCTACAGGAATTGGAAATTCAAATATCATCCACATATGTTAACACGATCCAAGGTTCACCTGTAAACCCCATAACTTATCTCACTCGGGATCGTAATTCGGTGAACGCCTGCAGAGGACAGAGAATTATAAGGTTCCCTTAACAAGAGTCAAACGAAACCGTTCAACAATAGACGTTTGATTGGTTATCAAACGTCTCGGGTTCCTGGCCGAGGTCCGAATCGTCGGACTAAGTGGTAACAGTGAATAGAAAGACTAATTGCATTAAGAGGAGCTGGACGACGAAGCAGAGGAGAAGGTCGCGTAAAAGTCGATGTCCGACTGGTGAAATGCAAATGCCCGAGGAAATTTCGTCAAGCGACCGGCGAAACACCGGGCTCCTCTCTCGGGCATTAGAATTCATAAAACGAGCTGACCTGTCCCTTCGTTAAGGGCCGTGAAACCGGCGTGTGACCCGGTCGACACGCCCACCTTAATTAACAATAATCGTCCTTCCTGGTAGCTCAGCGGGTGTCGTTCGGGACACGATCGTCTCTACCTAGTCGAAACTTCTGTCTTTTTGTCCGGCTGGTAACGAGTACCTTTTCTTTTCAGGCAGTCACCTTATTTCAGCCGGTCAGGCATTAAGGACAAGAGGTATATAACGGTGCTCGCTTCCTGACCGTTTTTCGATGGAAATTCCAGGTAGATCCACCGAGAATATCCAATTTATATTGTGTTACCTACTTTGCCTGTTTGTTTTGATCTATCGATGGATTTTAGTGGTTATCTCCTTCGGTTTAATCCTCGAGTCGACAAAATTTAGATTTTTCATGCGATATACTGTTATAATTCTATTTGCTAATGTCAACCGCGAGGTGGAAGAGTTAAAACTGTTGTATCTAAGTTGTTGATCGGGTAGCGAGGAAACACTTATTTTATACCGGCACGTTCTTTGCAACTGGGTCGTGTTATATCTTTAAAATGGCTGAAAATAGAAAGAAACGCGAGATAAAATTAAACGTTTGGCGCTGCATGTTCTTGAATTACTTTTATGCACTTTTGCATCTTTTTTATTTCTTAATGAAATTCAATATTTTTGAGTGGTCAAAACAAAGTTTAACATATTCTAATACAGTTATTTCAATACCTACCAACGTAGCCCGGTTAAAATAATGAAAAAAGAACTATTATTAGGCGCAACGAGTACCGAACAAAACTTCATTTTGCACTCCGTCGTCACGTTAGCCGGTAAAGTTACCGGGTTCGCTGCAAACAGTAGAAAGTTACGCGACGAGGTCGCATTAGCAGACTTCATTGCGAATTGTGTACACGGCTTAAAGCACGCTAACATCAGAATCAACTTAATATTATACAACGACAACATTTAATTTTCCTCAACTTTCCCATTTACCTTCCACCGCGTCCTTTTCAAACCACTATCTCTACCTGCAATTCGAAAAATCCAATCTAAATATTTAGACGTCGCGTCGGCTCCATTTTCGCTCGTTACTATATCGCAAGTTCATGCATATTTTTCGATACAAAAAGAAATGATACACGAAGGGGTTAAAATGGTCCCTGGGCCTACATTACCCTTTCGAACGAAGAGAACCAGCAAATCCACGAAACGCGAAACGGAAGCCACTGGTTACATCTATTAAAACGAATTACAAAGCAATCGAAACGGATGTGGGGAGAAAAGAGGAAGCAAAGAAAAAGAGAGTGAAAGGTGAACGACGATGCGGTCGAAGTATTTTTACCGGATTTAATTATACGGACTTTTGAGGGTCCCGCGGCTGTCCAGGATCGTAATATTTATCAGCCAATGTGTAACAGGGAGGAAATTAAATTCAGAGCGAGACATCAAAGGAATCGCGCGTGCAACACCTGCCGATTGTTCTTTCTTTCCTTTCCTTCCCGCTTTTCTCGTTATATGCAATTAAACCTTGCGCTAATTTCTCTTTTAATTGTTAGCCGTTAATTATTAATTACATGCCCCCGGCTTATCGGGCCATCTGGAAGGACGGTCTTTCAGCGGGCTAGTGTCGCTCGATGGAAATTTCGAAAGGGAACGCTTCTTTCCATTATGCATCAGGACGATTATGTTTGGAAAAAGGAAACGTGAAACTAAAGACAAAGCAAAGAGGGAATACTGATGTCGCGACTTATAATGAAAAGGGTATTTCAGTATTGTATAATACCGTAATTAGGTGATGGTGCCGATTTCAATTATAATAACTAAGTAAGTAATTCGAAGGAAGGGAAGTGTATTTTCATATGGCACATTGAAAATTCACCCATGAACCAAAAGGCAGCTACGTGGGTGGTCAAGAGGTCACACCGCATAATGGCGAGGGCGAGGAGGCGCCTGCTCTTCTTCAACCTCAATAGCGACGTCGCTGTTTCAAGACGTCTCAAGTGTTTCTTTTCCTCAGAGGGAATCTATGGCGACGCACCGGTCCTTTTTCTGAGACCTAATGCCTGTCCATCCTTACGTGAACGAATTCTTTTTTTTTTTTCTTTCTCTCTCTCTTTCTTTGCTCCTATAGCCAACGACAACGAACAGACACTCGAGTTGCGTGCACGTTAAATTATCGTTAAACGCGGCTAGAACGTTTCCCGCCTTAATTAGGAAACGTGTTTCCTGGGGATCAGACGGCGGTACAATCGTTACGCAGATTGTCGCAGCGTGGCGGCGCCTATTAATTGCGAAGAAAACGCAGCGCGTAAATCGCGTCTCACCGCGAACACAATACGATCGTACGTTCAATCTGTTCCAATTAGCTGCCAGGTTTGTTCATTACGTTCGACGATTATTCAGCCGGATAAAGGCGAGACACTGACTTACGTTCCATTTAACGAAGGTCAATGCGGAGCCAGTCGAGCTTGAACTCTTTACAGCTAACATTTCCTACGTACCGGAATATGCTGAATCAAACTTTTGTTTTCCTTCGTTATAGGCTGTTCCAAAAATAATACACGATGTGCTGACCATTTCGACGCGACTCGTGCACGCGGATTGAATAATTCAGCATAGTTTACATTGGTAGAGTAAATAGTAGAGTGTATGGTATTACTTTATTATACTTTACCATGGTATTATCTCAGCTTACTCTAGCAGGGACTACTTAATAATACTTATAACTACATTTTCATATCAGTTTACAATATAAGTTTGTTACGCAAGATAAGATATTTTTAGTAAGCTGTATATCGCCTCGTAAAAAGTCATAACGAGTATGACTTAATGGTTTTATACTGAAACGTGAGTTACGAGTCATGAGGTTGCCTCGTTAAACGATCTCATTGTCGGCTGATTAGCAGCTTTATATTCAAACAGAACTACTTATGCTTATATAACAATATTTGCAGAAAAAATTGAGAGAAACGAATTTACATCACACAGAAT